TCAATAAATCTGTGTAAACGTTAAGATACAAATTCAGTCATTAATGAATTGGAGTATCAGGATAATTTGAGATTCACGTTGTTTTTTACGGCGATTGTGGTCAGGAATGTCCAGTGATGACCCTCATACTAAAATAAAACAGATTTTGAAACGATATTAGATAAAAGCATTGGCAACTCTCATGAAAATTAATGCTAGCAATCCAAGTGTTGAGGATTCACATTAAGACAAATATTAAAGCTGAAATAGTAATCAAACTGACTTAAGTGAAAATACTATTGACTGACCTTATCTCCTTCCTTGAGCTTCGTTACCATGGCAATAGTCGTCACATTCTCCTGCCAAACCATCCTCCAGAAATCATCCATAGAGGCCTTGTTGGGTCCTTGAAAATATAATGAATTATGGCTCATCGGTAAATCAATGTTTCAATTGCTTTATGGGAATGACGACTGACGACTTGTCTGTTTTTGTATTTCAGTTCAGTTCAGTTCATTTATTTTCCACAATAATAAAAGTTTGTTTTGGTATTTGTTGTTGTTATTGTATATACATGTATATATCTGTTATATGTAATGTACATCTTTGTACTTTTATTATTGTGGAAAATAAATGAACTGAACTGAACTGAACTGAAATCTTTTTATACAAGAATAAAATATTTACTTGAAATATAGTAACCGAAATCCATACGTATTACAAATTGTATTTATAACTTACTACTATTTAAACGTAACGGAAATTAGCATGGACATACCTTGTGATGCAATGTAAGCCTTGTCATTGTCAAAACTCTGTATGTGAAAAAAAAAAAATTACATAATGAAAAGTAGATCAAAATGAAACTATACATATGTCAAGGCTTGAGGAAAATGACAGTCTCTATTTTAATACAGCATTGCTTTCCCGTAGGCAATTTTGTAGTTCTTTAATCCAACATAAAAGAAGATCAAGGAATTATATTGCAGCTTCAACCGATGTTGGGATTCCCATTACATGTGTGCTGTACGTGAGTATGTGTGTGTGGGTGCGGCGGTGTGCGTGGTGCGTGTATGCGTGCGTGTGTGCGTGTGTGCGTGTGTATGGGTGTGTGTGGTGGTCGTGTGTGTATGTGTGTGTGGGTGCGGCGGTGTGCGTGAGTGCGTGTCTGTGTGTGTGTGCGGCGTTGTGTGTGCGTGTGTGTGTGTGTGTGTGTGTGTGCGTGTTTGGATTGTGTAAAGATCCAGCGCAGAAAACGTGTATTCTACTTCATGTAGTCCATCAACTCATGCTACATCCTGTTAATATAACAATGTTGTACCGGGTTTTTACTTTATTTATTTATTTATTTCTGATATTTATACAGGGTGGCACATATCACCAATTTGGTGGTCTTCCATGAGGCCCTGTTTGGTAATAATACAAACAAATAACAGCATATCAATAACAACATAGATAAATACACAAGCATATAAACAGGTAAAATACAAATTAATTGGTATCCCCTTGAAATAACTGATCATTCACGAATCATTCTTGATCATTTACAAGAAATAGGTGAATGGAATTTTCAAATTAAATACAAATTTTTAAAAACGTTCATTTACGGGATACCAAATTTGTTATATACATATTTACATTCAATTGCTCTTTAACTAATACACTTAGGTTGTCTACAAGATAGCTGAAAATGGATACATTACATGTATGAATACATGATATAACGATAACCATGTCAACCGAATTTCATAATTTTGCAAATAGGAAAAAAAAATGGTTACCTTTGCACGAAACCACCAAAAGTTCACTTACACGTCATCTACAGATAACAGGGCTTTTAGAGCGTGTTTAAAACTGTTCAAAGTAGGTGACATTTTGACAGGACTTTTAAGTTGGTTCCATACTCTAATTCCAGAAATTAGAGGACTATTTTTATAAGTGTCCGTACTAAATTTGGGTACACACAATGCATCCCTTACAGCATGTCTTGTGTTGTGATAATGTAGTGAACTAACATGATGTAAATCTTGTTTTAAGTATGTTGGTCCCGGGGGGGGGGGGGTACTCAGATTATAGTCGGACGGGGGTGTGTGGCTGAAACCTCCGAACCCATACCCACATCCAAGGGTCCTTTTGCTGAAATAGGTACCCATGTCTAAGGATTTTTTGTCAAAAATGGACCCATGTCTAAGGATTTCAAACTTCAAATATTACATTTTTTAAGCTGTAATAATACACTCCAGCAAAGCATATGGAGAGTCAACGCTAATGCATATTGACCTTTAGCACTGCACTACGCGTTAATAGGCAGCATTTAAATACATGAATAGTCAATACACTCATAACACAGAGATGCACACAATCATCCCGATGCGGCTGATCGGCAAGTTCGACAGTGGACTCACAATTTGATTTTTTAAATTATTCTTTCTAACATCGGAAAGTTAAAAAATGTATATTACTGCTATTTAGATCTTATTGATTGTCACTAAAGTATTGATTTTTAGTGAAATTGGTTGAGTTTTACACAGTGGTGTTTGAAATGTTGAGAATCAATACTAATAGCACAGCTTTTAATACACAGCCAGGATAGTAATGCACCTATGTGTGTAATAATACAATGGCCAATAATTTTGCAGTTTCTCGATAAAGTTCTTTATTAGTAAACTGTACCATACTACATGTAGTTTACAAGTAGTTTACACACATAAAGATGAAAACACCATGCAACATAATAATACTGTGCTAGCACCTCTAGCATCTGTTTTAATTGAAGGACTTTTCCTGTTAACGTACCCGTACACGAGCTCTCAAGCATTGGCTATATAGCTCCCTGCTTGAGCCCCGCTGCTGCCCGGCTGCTGGGCAGAGGGTACGCAGTGTATAGCTGCCGATCTTTCAGCGTACGAAGCGCTACAAGTTTCCGGGGGTACGACCCCATACGGGCGGATACCATACCTAGCGCGCATTATGCCATATGAGTACCCGGTATAGAGCCCATGGGGATGTGGTACCCCGGGATCTAGTTGAGTTTACGAGCTACGTACGTACACCCACTGACTTAGAGGTCAGTGCGTACACCTCGTACACTGGAAATGCAATCACCGAATTCGAAGGGTCCATTTATTTAGAGATGGGAGAGATTTAGGCATTTTCAATGTAGGAGCAAATCCCAAAATCCAGGAGAAAATGAGGGAGAAAAGAGGGGAAAGGAATAAATGAAAAAAGGGACCCATGTCTAAGGATTTTTTTAATGAAAAGGGGACCCATGTCTAAGGATCTTTCCTGAAAAAGTCACCCTTCCGAGCGGCACATCCCCGTATACCCATTATACGTGAGTACCCCCCCCCCCCCCCCGGGATGTTGGTGCCATGTTATGCAATGATTTATACATCATCACTGCACGTCCAAACTGGAAACGTGTCTGAATAGGCATCCATCTTAAGCGACTAAACATATCGTTTGAAGATACGTCAAATCCTACTCCCAGCACTACACGTGCAGCTCGTTTTTGAACCTTTTGTAATTTAATCGTTTGTCTTTGAAATCGCTCAGACCACACCGAGGAACAATAATCGAAATGAGGAAGTACGATGGCATTATACAGAAGTTTTAGAGATCTCGTTGGAACATAACTTTTGGCTCGCTTAATTACACTGATATTTCTTTGAGCAGTTTTAATAACTTTTTCCACATGCTCCGTCCAACGTAACTCCTCATCAATCATGACACCCAGGCATTTTGCCACTTTTACTCTTTTCAAACAGCTGCCGTTAAGTGTGACAGAAAAATCATTTACTCCGTTAAGAACTGATCGTGATGCAATAAGCATCACATTTGTCTTATCCGTATTAAGAACTAGACGGTTTGTTGTTACCCATGAAAATATCACGTTATTTGATTCATATCATTCCTTTTGGACGCTTCATTCAACGACAACCCACTTTATAACATTAAAATGAAAGTAAATGGTAATGAAAATATATGTATAAATTAATGTATAGATAAATTGATACATGCCACCTTACTTACGGGAATGTAAGAAGCGTTAAAGTAGTCGGAATGAGGATTATCGTTGATGACTTCTAACTTCACCCTCACCGAATCATCTGGATGAAAGATAGGATATGAACAAAATCAAGTCAGCCAGTTGCTTAATATGTCCCATTTGAAGGTCAAAAAATGAAAAGGTTAAATTCCAACGGCATTTGAAAGACAATACTTATTTAGAACTTCCCTCAAAAAGGATTGGTTTGTGTCTGGGAAAATAACGACCATGAGTTGTCGAATCGACATAAGTGATGGCGATATCCTAAACAATAGTCTGATTTTCAGACTGTTGTACCGAATGTCCGTACGTTTTGTGCTGCACAAAGATTCAATCAGTTTAACTTTGGCAATTTCAAGTAGTTGGTTATTGATGTAGACAAATGATCATGTACCTGTTGCAGCTCATTTTATGTATGTTATTGCTAAAGATAAAAAGATTTCAGTCAGTCACTCAATAGTGTCTGACAGGGAAGTCTAAAAGTAAACGGGTTTCCCTGCATAATTTGAATACTAGGACACTGCTAACGGTTAAATTTCACAGATAGGACAAACATGACATATTCATAATTCCTGCAAAGTTCTACACAATTTGATGTTGGTTGCAAAAGGGACATAGTACCTTTAAGGTAAAGTTCGTTGTTTAGTCATTTTAGTCGTTTTTATTATTAAGCAGTCTATAGCAAATTGAAATGAACATTAAAAACCAAAAGCACTATTAAGGTTTCAAATGCCGAGATTTGACTACGGACAAAACTCTTTTACTTTTTTGTATTGAGAGTGTGATTAAACTTGCATCATATTTTTACAGAAACTCTATTAAAAACTCATAAATAAAGAATTATGACATGGAACTGAACGCATACAACAGAAAATACATTGGTACACTGGAGCTTCATTGATGCAAACTTTTATAGCTATCCCTAACAAGTCAACATAATAGAGGCCCCGTTATTTTGTAAACTCACATGGTAAAATATTCTTGTATCTGTTCTTCTTGAAGTTGATCTCCTCTTGAGCTACGGTCTGAGGATAGATGTTTGGGCCAGGTAAGTCCTTTAGGAGAGAAAGGAAATATAATTTCAGTTTCAGTTTATTGTTTCAAATTTCGCATATAATAATATAATAAGAAAACGCAACAAAACAAAGATGAAGTCTAGTATCCGAGACTATAGAACAAAAGGCGGCTAATATCACATCAGTTTGATTAGATGCAGTATGAAATGAAAAGTCGCGTTTAAGAAGAGAGAAAATTAATATGGAGTGGCTGAAGGTGAAAATAAGTATTGTAATGCCCTCGGCGATATATTTCTGAAATGAATTGTTATGTTTCGTTACTAGTCATACCATGAACCTAAAAATATCATCTAAGGATAATGAGTCTCGAACGGCTCCACGTTCATGAATCAGCGGCTGAACGAGCACACTGCAGAGAGATTGCTACCCAGTGTTCTCAACAACACAATGTCGTCTACGAGTAGCGCACATTGGAGTGCCAAAAGAATTTCTCAAACGCAAAAGCTTAAAAAGAAGACATATTTCTTGTTGATAGAAATAATCTTCATTTAACCTACATGAAATTCCTCGGAGAAGAGCGTGGTGTGTCTGTTCTTGTTGACGAACGTAGGAAACTGAGCCAGGGATAATGGTTGACGTGTGCCAAGAGGTTTGTTGCTAGATCTGTCAGGAGATCCATCGGTTGAATCGAGGTCTAAGGATTTAGTTTCCTGTACAAAGGGCTTGACGGCTACAGCTGGTTTGGGTCTTGTGCTCCTTGGAGGTGATTGGTCTGGGTTCAAAACGGAGGCGTGCCCACTCTTATTTTCTGACAGGATACATACAGAAATAGAAAAAGTCAATTTTACCCCTTTTTTTGAGGAGGAAATGTCCTAAAGTGGTACAACGCAGAATCAGCCCATGTACAGCAAATAACCAAATACATCCTTATGTCCTTACACTTGATTCATTTTTACTTCTCCAAAAAAACTTGCCTTGTTCGTGACATCATGAATCAGGGTAGGGCATATTAAATTGAATTGTAAGAATTCTATGGGGTTAGAAAAATAGAATATGTAGTCTCTTTGTTGCCATTAACATCGTCGTTCCATGCTATTTTGAGGATTTTAGTATTTCTACCTGATCATATTAACACTAATCAAATAATAGGCCTACCTTCTAATGGCGTGTCTTGGAAATCAACTGGTGCCTGAAATTGGTCCTCGATGTTTTTTTGTTTAGACGGATGACTATTATTCCTTTAAAGAGAACAAAATGACGAAAGGCGAACAATACGTGATCAGAAGAGAAATTTACGAGAGCTGGTAACTATCAAACTATTAGGATAACTTCATCGGTAGAGTATTCCTTGAAGAGAGGAATAGAAAATTATCAGATTTTCAAATGTTCCTATTCTGCTTGTTCTTAAAGTCCGTACATCAGCATGTTTCCACTTCATCAAGAATATGGTAGTACTTACAGTAGATTACTGTAAGTAATTACGGTAGAAGTAAGTGATAACATTGTGGATGGAAATGTTTAATGATGACTGAAAAATAGAAAATAGCTCACGAACCTTCGTCGTTTGAACACGATAATGACTACAATGATGATAATCAAAATGATCAGAATGGCGCCAACGGCTCCACCAACTGCCGATGCTATATAACTTGGTGTTGGCACAGGACCTTCATTTGGGATCAAGCGGAAGAGAAGAATGAAATCAGAAATCGTTTTTTCCCCAAGAAAATTCACTTATTCAAATATGTTTTTTATACAACCCCTGTATGGAAAAGAATCTATTTCGCCATCAATAGCGAAGAGATTGATTAATTGCAACTTCAATAATTAATAACTTTCCTATTTTTAATCGGAATTCGATCAAACTTTCACTGACCCGTCCCTCTCATTTTTCTGCTTCCATTAAAACCAACTTAATATCAGGCTGGACTTCCCTCTCGACAGTTTGATTACACGCATAGCATTGTTTTCAAGAGTACGCGTGCTTTAGTGAGAGGAAATCGCATAAAACGGTCAAGGTTGTGTTTCAGTTTTTGACACTTTAAATGAATGTATGAAAAGATTAAAACCAATAAACCTTACCAGAGGACCCCGATGTGTGTCAATTAGCTGGACAGTACAAATAGAGAGCATTTTCACATCTGTAAGGGTATGGCCGAGGGTAGTTGTCACTAGAAAAGTTGTTGTAGTATTATGATACCTTGTTATTAACCTTCTATGAACATAATCGCAGAGACTTTTGAAAGCTCATCCTCGTATCGAGCAAATCCGATGGCATGAAACGTCTGAACATTGCAATGAAGCATTGCATAATCCTATCACCTTTTATTTGGGATGTGCCAACAGGTATTTAAATTGCCCTGAGTTAATTTTGCAATGGTCGTATCCTACGACAACTACCCCCAGACAACAACCCCCTAGGATAGTTGTCCGGGGGTAGTTGTCCTAGAGGATGGTTTTCGTAGGTTTTAGTTGTCCGGGTGGTAGTTGTCCGGGGGTAGTTGTCCTAGGGGTTAGTCGTCATATAGGGTGGTTGCCTTAGAGGGTAGTTGTTCTAGGGGGTAGTTGACTGTGGGTGGTTATCCGGGGGTTGGATGTCTACGGGGTAGGTGTCCTAGGACCGGCAATGGTGTTCAAAATATTGGAATGGGTTCATTCTAATGTTCGAAGCAAGCCTAATATCACTGCTACATACACATGTATGAAAACAACATTGATCAGCATATTATAATGCTCTTACCTGATTGTATCGTCTTCGCATTCACAGGTTCTGACCAATTACTAGAACCAGCTACATTAACAGTCTGTACCTATATAATAAATGTTGATATCATAACAAAAATTATTTATACATTTGATCTTTTTCTTGAAATGTCATCGTCCCAGTAAGCGCAAATCTCAGGTTACTTATCCAAAAGAAATTTACTGTGTTCATGTTTTGTTTATTACTGTAAGTACTTTTTCTAAACACCGTACCCTTTTTGCCCTTTCAAGTTGCATGTAAAAGGACACAATTCATAAACAGAGTATTGCCAAACGGAGAATATGCTCTTTTATGTTCTATCAACAGAGGTCCTTTATTGTAAGTTCTAAAAATCTCATCTCCAGTTGTCAATTCTCAGACAAAAGTGCTTATAAATGTCTTCTGCGTGCATCCATTGTTAAGTTCATGCGCTTGTATTGCATCCTTGCATTGTATGCTAAAGTTCATATAGAGGTATCCCCATTCATATTCTGTTGCTATACTACCAAGCAGTCCATAGCAATTTTTATGCCTGCGGTCTTGACCAAGCACAGGCCTAGAATCTTTATATATCGTCGCTGTTTTCACGAAGTGACGGTAGTGAAAAAAATTTGCATTCACTTTGCGTTACGATTTTCCTCACTACCGTCACTTCGTTAAAACAAGGACGATATGTGGTATATAAATACCTATCAAGTCATATAGATGTATTACCTGGACTGTATAGTTGATTTCACGGGGTAGATCTACCACAGTATGCTCTCCTTCAAACGCACCGTTCAATACTTCCTCTGACGTATAGTCACCATTAACAACGGGATCAGTTTGCTGGTAGCGGATGATATACTTCTGGATGTTACCATTGATGTTAGATGGTAGAGGGGTAGACCAGGATACAGTGAAGGAGCTTGTAGTACTCCGCGGTATAGCCACATTGATAGGACTAGGTGCAACTGTGAAGGGAAAGCAGGAAGGTCTATACTTGTATACTCTTGTATGACAGGGTGTAAATGTGCATGGATTTCAAGTTCTTTCTTCTTCTTCTCCTCCTTCTCCTTCTCTTTATCCTCCTTCTTCTTCTCCTCCTCCTCCTCCTCCCCCTCCTCCTCCTCCTTCTCCTTCTCCTTCTCCTCCTCCCCCCTCCTCCTTCTCCTCCTCTTCCTCCCACCTCCTCCTCCATCTGCTCCTCCTCCTCCTCCTCCTCTCCCCCTCCTCCTCCTCCCTCCCCCTTCCCCTCCCCTCCACCTCCTCCTCCCCCTTCCCCTCCCCTCCTCCTCCTCCTCATCCTCCCCCCTCCTCCTCCTTGCACATATTTTACTATATCTATACAAATAAGACTATTTGCTTTCAAGAATCCAAGTTAATTAGCTGATGAAGGTTTACCTTCTTCAAGTGTTTTGCCGATAGTCTCACTGCTCCTGTCACTTTCCTCGTCTTTATTTGATGCAGTTAATTGAATGGTATAGTTCAGATAAGTATCCAACCCTCCTAACGTGTAAGAGCTTGTGTCATTACGAACCAAGATAGAGTTTGAAGAAGTTGATCCAGTTGGAGCGTAGTAGATCATATAATTGGTCACTCCACTCCTGCATTCTGCTGATTTCGACGGGAGGTGCTGAAACATAACGGTACAAATATATGTTACATGCATCACAACCACATACAAGAAGTTACTTTCACACTAAAAAACAAAACTACAAGATGTTAGAATATTTTGTCTACAATTTTTCACATTTGAGGATGCTGCAATCAATATGATGGAGCATTCTGCAGAACAAGAATCTCTTGACTACATACAATTTCTATATTAACTTTCTTCTGTTAAATAAAATCAAACTCCATTTTGATTAGTCCCCAAGCACACACATTTAACTGGCAACAGAGAAATTTGTACACCTGTTTTTAAATCGGAATTATTTTGTTAAGTCAAATGTTGAGAGGTACATACAGAAGCCTCCAGAATGTTAACGACGTATCAATAGCGAAGTGAGTGAAATAAGCGTTTTTATTTCACATATCTTGATAAAGTTTCAGGTAAAATTAAGTCTTATCAAGGTAAAACATATCATTACCAGCTCCATATCACAAGGATGCAGTTCTACCTCCTTGTAATAAAATTATGACTATCAAAAATGTATGCATTTGTGTTCTGGATGAGTCTTTTTATCCAACTGCTTCAGTCAAAGGCTTACTTATGTTAATATCAAGATAAAAACAGCTATTCTAAACAGTTCATACCTCCCATGTCACCTCTAGCTCTTTATGGTTGATGGCTGAAACTTGTAGTCCAGTTGGAGAAGCACTGGGTTCTGCAGTTTAAAATTATATAGAAGATACTAAATGGCTTGGACCTATAGCAGATGAATTCATGCAAGTCATGGTTAAATCATACATTGCTACAACAAGTACTCTTCATTTGGTTTTAAATTAAATGTCAAGGAATCAAACATAAAACTACCTTTGGACAAAACACAATGAAGGGTACTATAATTAAACAATTTAGGGAAAATTCATGTTTTGTAGAAGAAGTTTTCCGCGTCAGATTTTAAACACATAGAATAATTATAAAAAAAGAATTATGGAATGAGAAATACAAACATTTCTATATTACAGATTTTACTCAAAGAACTAGATAAGTTAAAGATTTTAATGAAAAGTTCGTTCAATCAATTGAAAGTGCATAAATATCTGAAGTGTACATATAAATGTACAAATCAATTACTAATGCAAAAACAATGTAGACCTACCTGTACAAAAATGTTTGAAAAAATGTATAACTCAAACACACTCAATTATTTTTCTCCCAAAAATAACTTACTTCTACAGAGAGTTATTGTGTTGTTCGTATGAGACATGGGTCCTGTTCCACCTGTTCCTTCCCTCACTGCTGCTACACCAAACCTGTAATCTGTGTCGGGTGTCAGGTTACTAACGATGGCCGATGTTGTGAGTTGGTTTGCTCTCTGATCCATTACCCAGTCACCATCCTCCATTACAAAGACATCATATCCTACCAGAGGAGGATCACCTATGTCATCTTCTTCAGACCATGCATCCCATCGAAGACCAACTGTAGTTGAGGTAGTACTCACTATCACTGGAGCTTTCTTAATGACTGGCAGAACTGAACAATAACAAAAAGAGACAATGATACTTAATATAAGTTATTGAAATACCGGTCAAAATCAATGACACACCTAGCTCTCCTAACCTAGTTCTCCCATCAAGTCAATATGTTTATGAAATTTACCAAAGTACACATGAATTCTATACTGACATCTTACAGAGCTGCTACCATATGATGCGGAGAATGTGCATACGTTGTGTGTGAGCGAGCCTGAGTACAATGTCAGGGTTCATAATACATTGTAAGGCACTAAGAGACATTGTAGATGTATCAAGTGTTACATAAACCCCGAATATTACCATTATTAAATATTAAAATATAAATTGCTCACATGGAAGGGCCTATGATTAAGTAATGTATATAATGCGACTTGCCTGCACAAGACAACTGTATCAATATAAGAACAGACATTCCATGTCCTCTTTTTAGTGGATATTGGTTTATTCAATATGCCCCCTAGGCTCAGTCATTTGTTTGTATTACTGAAGGCTAATTCACATATATTTTGCAACACACGTCTGTTGTTGCTATTACAGCTATTGTGACTGCTGTTGCTGATGAAATGGGTTTTTTGTGGCTGTTGTTGTCGGTCTTGTCGTCGGTATTTTATGGAGATGGAGGGTATGTGCCTGCCTCTTTATTTGACATGAAAATTCAGAAAAGTTTGCTCACCATAGGTTGCGTCGGTAATGAGCGTACTGGGATAGTCTACCTCTTCAACAGTAAGAATGCAAACATATCCCCCATCTTCCTGTGGATACACACTATCAACATCAAAGACAACAGCTCGTTCTGACCCTGAGACAGTGCTAGATCCCCTGGTGATTCCTGTCCTGTCATTGGTGTTTCCAGTGCGTCGATAAAAATTAACTGAGGATGCATCGAGAAGTGGAATACCCTCAACATAACATGTGAAGATAGATGGTTGGTATGGGTTCACTCTCACTGGAACTAATTTGGATATTCCTGTCAAGATGGAAAAAAAGGAAAAGCATTAAATAATACACACAATTTTGCACACAAAATCTGCTTGCCTTATGTATTTCACCGAGAATACATTATGGGAAACAAATCCTACATGTACTTTAAAGAACATTGACCGATCGTGATATTCAACAATAAAAGAATGGATTTGTTTGTATTAGAAAGAATGACCAAGTGCTTATAACCGTGATATCCCTGTCAAAATCACAGCGAAAGTACAGAACATTGAATAAAAATATACATGTCTGCAGCAATATAATATGGCAACTCGGTCACTTCATTGTGGTGGCGTACCCTTTTTAATGAAAAGAGCCAAAGTAATACCTGTATTAAAAAAAGGTGACTCACGTGAACAGGGAAATTATAGGCCAATTTCTTTACTTACCTCTTTTTCCAAAATGTTAGAAAAACTTGTGTATTCACGAACTATAAATTTCCTTACACAACACAATTTACTTAGTGATGTTCAATTTGGATTTAGAAAAAACACCCCACAAGTCATGCTATGTTAACACTCATTAATAAAATAGTTTGTGCAATTGATAACTCTTGTCACACGATCGGTTTATTTCTAGACTTCTCAAAGGCGTTCGATACTATTGACCATAACATTCTTCTTAGTAAACTGTCTCACTACGGTGTCAGAGGGAAGCCCCTTGAGTGGTTTAGTAGGTACCTTTCAGACAGAACTCAATACACTTCTGTAAATAACCAGTCATCAATTAAAAATATTACCTGTGGGGTGCCTCAAGGCTCTCTTCTTGGCCCTCTTCTTTTCATACTTTATATAAATGATTTCATACGATCATCTAATATTTTATCTTTCATATTATGTGCTGATAACTCTAATATTTTTCTCTCATGTCATGACCCCAAACTCTCCTAAATACAATTAACTCGGAATTAGTTTCGGTTCAAAGTTGGATACAAGCCAACAAACTATCATTGAATATTAAAAAGACAAATTATGTGATATTTAACAACACTATTGATCATCTTAATTCCTGGTCCTATTCAAATAAATGGTATCGAAATAGAATGTGTTCAAAGAACAAAATTCCTTGGAATTTATGTTGATTGCAAATTGACATGGAAAGTGCATATTACCTATTTATGTAAATTATTATCAAGAAACATTGGTGTCATAAATCATGTTAAAAATACATTTCCTTTACCGGTTTTATCATCACTGTACACAACCCTTATTTTGCCTTACCTGAATTATGGGATTTTAGCATGGGGAAATCCTACTAAGACCTTAATTGACCGAATATTAATTTTACAGAAGCGTGCATTAAGAATAATCCATAATGTCTACTTTCGTTCCCACATTAAACACTTATTTTTACAAGACAAAATTCTTAAAATTAATGATTCGTATTCTTGGTACCTCGGTATCTTTATGTATCAACTGATTAATAACGAGTTATCTCTCCCGATTTCCTCCATTTTCCCAAAAAATAACGAGATACATTCATACCCCACAAGACAGTCGAACCACTTCCACACTTCTCGAATGAGAACAGCTTTCGCACAAAAAACAATTATTTACACCGGTCCAGTATTTTGGAATAACATAGATTTATCTCTTAAACAACGTACCAGTCTATACACATTTAAAAAAAAGTTAAAGATTAAACTTTTAAACACATATATATGATCGAATCTCGGTTTAGTTTGACTCTCGACTCAATTTCTTTCTCAATCTCTTTCTCCCTCATTCTATTGATCTAATTGCCCTTTTCTAGAACTTTTGCAATCTTTCATTTTCCCTTTTTTTGTATCTTTCTTTCTTTTTGTCTTCTACTATTTTCCTCCATTTTCCCCATTTTTTTAAATTCCCCCCCCCCCCAATTCAGAATTTCTTAGCTACATATTTGTCTATTTATTGATTTCTAGGCATACTTTGTTCATGTTTTATTGTAAAACAGCATCTGAGACACTAACACTTGAACAAGCTCTGCTTCAAGTTAGTTCCTCTTTTCACATGTTATTTCCATTATATTTATCGTTTCATTGCATATTTGTTGTGATAAAGTTATTCTTGTATTATGTTTTGCATGAGAAATAAAATCATTTGAATCAATATATAGATCCAGAACTAAGCAAGATCATTAACAAACTATGAAAAAGAAACTTGTATGTCTACATATATAGGTGTACCTTAACAAGGGAATATCTTAATCTGATTATTTCTTTCAATTTACAATATCAATGCAATACTCCTTGTATGCAAATCATACATGCTGACTTTTATCAATCATGATGTCTATCCACTTGAGAAAATGATTGTTGTACTAAAGTCGAACCTGTCTTAGCGACCACCCGTCTATAATGACCACCTGTAGATAACGACCCTTTAAATCCCCCTGTGAGATCTCATGTAGTTGAGAACCTGTGCACAACGACTTCCTGCCTAATGCGACCAGCAACCACTCGTTATGCTTCCGCTGGCCACCGAAAAAGACCGAAAATGCCCTCACAATGACCACAAGGGCCAGCCATGCATTGAACAGCAACAGCATCGCTTGATCAATTTTGCTACTAGCTCTGCTGTTTTCGGTTCCCACAGCGGCAGCCTATCCAGCTAGATCTAACAGTAGTTTACACACACAAATCTGTTCAAACCCAAGCTTTTTGTATACAACTTTTATCAAAACATCTAATTACCGAACAGGATGTTATTTTTGTTGCACATTTCATTATAGGGCCTATTGCCTATTGAAAACATAACGATACAGCGTCCAGCTCATGAATTTCACGATCGATGCCGGCCTGCGAGAGGCCTGGTGTGCAGGAAGCACTCTGTCTGTCAATCAATTATTCAGGCTTGTTCCTTTTTCTTTAAAAAAACATTTTAACATGCCTAAAAATCCAGGGGGTGTTTCACAAAGATTTTAAGTTGAATTTATCTCTAAGTTGGACTTAAAAATTATGGAAAGCCGTTAGCATCATTGAAAATATATTGTTAAAGGTATTATAAAAGGCATAAAATGTTGATTCAAATCATTCATATTTTCTATTATCATGGGAAATTTCATGTTCTTAATGTGGAATTTATGAAAAGTCTAAAATACTTGAATTTTTGCTTTCGAATATATTTCATTTTAAGTCTACAAATGGCTCTCCATAATATTTAAGTCCAACTTAGAGTTAAGTTCAACTTAGAATCTTTGTGAAACACACCCCTGGACACTTTCAACAACAACAAATCGTTAAATCATTTTGTATTTTCATTTTGACTACAAACCGTACCACTCTATGTTTATTGCATTTTTAAACACGTACCTAAAACGAAACTTGGGAAGTTAGATTTCGGGCTTATAGAAAGGCCCCAACGCCAACCTGTCAAGAAAGACCACCCATCTACAGCGACCACCTTTTGTGTTCCCATTGGGCGGTTGCTATAGACAGATTTGACTGTACAAAGATTACCCAATAATTGATAATCATTTTGAGGGGATTTTTTAAAAATACATTTAACTGCCGCTTACTGCGTGTAGAGTGTAGGAGAAACTTCATTAAAATATATAAATTGGACTTTATACAGAGCAAACAATTAATACAAATATTTTAAAACTATGCTCAAGTGTCTGCAACAAACAAGAATAATATTCATGATAATAATGGCCATCATATAGCTCTGGTATCCGCTAGGTCCTCATGCTCATGGGGCTCTACATATCAATTAGCTTCAACTGAAGTAAAAAATACTTGCTCCACAACCTAGCTTCTGGAGCATGATTGTGAATAACATTGAAACAAAATGAAATACACGCTCACATAGCTCCATATGCACTCTGAGGTTGGTCTTAATCTGAACCTTTTTTCAGCTGAACATGTAAGGAGACAAACCTGAATACAAAATGCTAGGTATAATTACCTTGAAGGCAGTTTGGTTCAATCCAGCTATCAAGGCATTGTCCCTGGCAAAGACCCCTCTCCGTCTCGCAAGCCTCTGGAGCACAATGACATTGCTGAAGACAATCCAAGCCAAAGGTACCCCCTTCACACTCTGAAAAAAGTAAAACCAAAATCTTGTTTATTGGAAACATCTGGTCAATGAGGATTATAGAATACTAAAGGCAAAGATAACTTCCCAGGTCGAAATTCCAGTTGATACCAGTTGAGACCAGTAAGGATTTCCAACTGGTATCTACTGGTTTGAACTGGTCTCAACTGGTCTCAACTGGTCTCAACTGGTACCAGTTGATACCAGTTGATACAATTTGGAAACCAGTAGAAATACCAGTTGACATCTGAGACCAGTTGATATTGCCAGTTGATTTACCAGTTGAAACCAGTAGATGATTACCAGTTGATTTACCATTTGAAAACCAGTATGATTACCAGTTGATTTACCAGTTGAAAACCAGTAGATGATCACCAGTTGATTTACCAGTTGAAAACCAGTAGAAGATTACCAGTTGATTCCAGTTGAAAACCAGTAGATGATTACCAGTTGAAAACCAGTAGATGAGTACCAGTTGATTTACCAGTTGAAAACCAGTAGATGATTACCAGTTGATTTACCAGTTGAAAACCAGTAAGATTACCAGTTGATTTACCAGTTGAAAACCAGTAGATAATTACCAGTTGATTTACCAGTTGAAAACCAGTACGAATACCAGTTGATTTACCAGTTGAAAAACCAGTTCAATGTATCTTATGAATATTCATGATTTGCATGTTTTCACAGAAAATATAATTATCATGATCTTTCAAGCAAATGTGACAATGCACATACATTTTGTGATTTACATTTTCTTAGTTAATTATTGACAAATATATTACACATGTCTGATCATGTTTTTCATCTTATTTAAGACGTAAAATGAGATATATTGATATATATGTAAATACTAACCAGAAATAAAGTGTATAAATTTGTATATATGTATGCACGAACAATATATGTCAAATCACACAATACACATCTGTAATCTACTTCAAATGATCATTGTGATGGGGTAATCGCAAGATTGCATATGTGGTCAAGTTGGTGGCCAGATGCTAATAATGATTATTGATTATCAGTTGATTACTGGATAATCATCTGAAAAATCAACTGGTAAATCAACTGGTAATTGAACTGGTAAATCAACTGGTAATTCAACTGGTAAATCAACTGGTAATTGAACTGGAAATTCAACTGGTAAATCAACTGGTAAATCAACTGGTAATTGAACTGGTAAATCAACTGGTCTCAGTTAGCGTTGTTTCAATTTCCATATTAAAAACCAGTTGAATCTACTGGTTTCAACTGGTACCAGTTGACTTACTGGTTTTAACTGGTACCAGTTGCCTAGCTGGTTTCAACTGGAATTTCGACCTGGGTTTGGTCGGGGTCTACTGGAAACAGGGTTGTAAACACACAAATCAAATCGTTTTAATTATGCTCATGCTCTTCTGATTAAGTTTAATTTTACAAGTAAAGGTCCAAGGGGTGTCTCACAAAGACCAAGATCGCAATTTTAAGTAGGACCTAACTATTGTAGGACATTCATGCCACTGGTTACTTTCACCATTATGATCTTAAGACAATATCTTTTCCTTCAATAATGAATTATCATAAAATGTAAATTCTGTAGATTTGTGACCATGATTTGTATGTCCCTTGAGAGACAAACGCCAGTAAATGGTGAGAGCAAACAGTGGCATGAACGGCCTGCCATAGTTAAGTCCGACTAGTCGATCTTAGTCTCTGTGAAACACTCCCCTTGGGGCCTGTTTCTCGAAACCGTCATATTAAAGGTAATACAAAGTTTTGGTATGGGGTCGTGAATTTGGTTCAAATGAACATATTGGAAGCATATGCGATCCTACAACATTCACTGATCTTTGTTGCGGTCGAAATCGACTCTAAAGTTATGAAATTTTAAATAATAAACACTTTATGTTGTATAGCTCCCTCTCAAGGTCAAGATATTAATTAAGCTATGAAACAATGTTTCTTGACACAAATCGACCGATAAGCTATTCCCGTTTGGAAATTATATACCACAAATACATATTCTGAGATTTCCATGGTCGCATCTACCATTGTACGGCCCATATGGAAACGTTTGCTTGTATTTGTCTCATAAAAGAATATGAGCACGAACTGACTCCCACACGGTGTTGAGTGCTCAGGTGTCACAGGCCAATGGCTTCATCGGGCAGGTAGTTCCATTATGTGAATGGGTAAATTAACTATTACAAAATGAGGGGACACATTACATTGTACAATAGGGACACACATTGTTTTTATTGTGCAGAACATACTCTTTTATTGACTTACTTATTGCATGAAACTATATAACGAAAATGCATTTTGTATTCTAACAATTGGAGTACAAAGAATAATGACAGGTAAATGAAATGCATAAACACCACAAACACCTGGGGAGGAAGCATTCATAAATTTGAAGACATATATATGATAAACGACTCCGATGAAACTATAAAATCAAAATGAAATTTGCGTTCTGGCAATTGGAGAACAAAGAAAGATAGCAGGTGAATGAAATGCTTCAACAGCAACACAAACACCTGGGAAGCTAGGAAGCATCCATAAATTTGAATAATTTAGTTGATAAACGACTCCGCATGTGGACGTTTGTTGGAGCAGAAAGCAGTGGATTCTTAACAACACGAACCCATTTAACATAATGTCGGAACGTAAATTAAATTTTGCGCGGTTGGAAAATGCATCTTTCCACCCTGCAACTTTAATGGTACGATCCAGTAAATTAAAACAATAAAATGGCTCTTATTTTAAAATTACTCATTAAATGAAACCCAAAGCTTCAGTGATATCAGAAAAAATACGTTATATCTTACTAATAATTAAAAAAAGATGTATAAACATTGTGAAAGTGTCGTATTTCACGATAAAAGACACCGATTTAGCAAAGATCACGTCATTAGTGCGCTTGCATCAGGGAATTCAAGGTCAAAAGGTCAATTCAGACGCTGATGAGTTGTTGGTCGAGCATTTTTGTTTCCTTTATTCCGACAAAATTATACAATCAATCAAAATAAGTTTGATACCAGAAGAAAGCTAACGATTAGTATTTTCATTAACCGCTTGCCCCAAAGTCTCTTGACCACAGTGAAACGAGTGAGAGCTTGCGAGATCGGCCAAAGTGTGATTGAAACTCGCTATTTGCTCTTCTCCAACGCAAAAAGAGACGACATTGTGCTGGATAAATGTATTTTTTCCGACAAAAGTACAGAAAATTTGCATATGGTCTTTTTATATTATACTTTATGAAATGTTACCCGAGTGACTTCCGGGCGCCCCAATGCTGGAAAGAAACGCACATTTTAGAAAACTTCACTTTTTCATGGAAAAATGCTTATTTGTTCTATGCACGCAAGTCAGATTGAGCGGATGATACAACGTTTCCATATGTAGGAGCTATTTGAAATTCATCAAAATTTACCGGGAGCACCGGTAAATCTTAATATTCAATTTTTCTCGAAAGTGTTTTAAGGGCTAAATTTTTTAGTGCTTTTAATACATCCACAGGGGCATCAAAATATATGAAAATTGTAAAAATTCACTATCCACCCTTTTTTCAAAATTTCCCAAAACTTTGTAATACCTTTAAGACTAACTTTTTGACTATCCCGTCGAAACGTGTGTTATAGAATTAACACATGTTTCAATGGGATAGCCAAGAAGTTAGACTAAATGACGGTATCGAGAAACAGTCCCCAGGACTACTAGAAATCTATGGCAGCCAGCAGTCCAGGGACCACCTCTAGATATGCTGTTCTCTCAATTACTACTTTCAGGTAGACAGCTCACCACGCTGGCTGCAACTCTTCATTCTAAGACAATAAATTTAGTCACAACTAGGATACAGCCAGGGGCGGATCCACGTAGCGATTTTTCCGGCCCGGCCGTGGGGGAGGGGGGGGGGGTGACGGGTCAATTTTAATTATATTAAAAATAAATAAAAAATTCTCACGAAGAAGGCCAAAAAAACAAAAAAGTGGTCTTACCCACCTCCCCCCGCCCCGCTTATTTACCGGCTGGCTGAGTCGGGGTAAAATATTTCCTGAAAAATTGGACAAAAAAGTGCCTCCTACCCCCCCCCCCCCCCCCCGCTTATTCACCGGTGGTTGAGTCGCAACTAATATTTTCTCACGGATTGGGCCCCCCCCCCCCCCCCTCTTCCCGCCGGCTGGATCCGCCACTGGATACAGCTCTCTCTCTCTCTGACTGCTACAAAATACCACTGAGGAAATGGTAATCAGACGTTTGCTCCTGGGACAGTTGTTCTGGGCTCTATTTCATCAAAGGTACGGGTTAGGGTTAGAGTTGCAATTGGGTTTTAAGGTTAGGGTTAGTGTCAGGTTGCTGTTGGGTCAAGGGTCGAAGCTAAGAACTTGGTTAGTGTAGGATAATGACAGGAAAGAAGTAGAGAGCAGTCGAACAGTCAGATGTGTGTATGATTGATTGTGTGTACATGCGCAGTGCAGTGTTCAGTTTACCCTCGCCCCTAGTGAATTAGTTTGGTGAGGAGGGTCTCACGTTACAATTTTCAAATAATGAATGCTGACTTTTGAGGTCATAATTTGATTAACTCTTGAGGCGGAGTACATGCAGTTTCAAGTTTACCTTGGGCAACAGTTTCAACATGCCCAACAAAGCAGTTAATATTTGTATACTAGAATCCTCCTCCAGTGTATACATTATAATACTGTGTTTACTATCACAGCACTACAGTATGTACATATATCTGGTTGATATGACCAATATATATATATGTACATGAATTTTCTGAGTGCTCATACATGTCTACATAAAACAATCCTGGTGTATCATGCACACTGCACCATACTTGATGTTCATGTTGCATCATTATGTAGTCTAGAGATAGAATGGAGATATAAATAAAAATTGATATGGAAAATTAAACACCCTTTATTGAAAAAATTGCATTTTACCTTGACATATGACCCCGCCATTGCGTACTTTGTATCCTAGAGCACACTTCTGCTCAGGGCAGCCTCCAGTATCTTTATCACATGGTTTATCGTTCAAGCAATGACATTTATCAGTGCATTGAGATCCATAGTAACCGTCTTCACATTGATCAGGAACTGAGGATGATAAGAAAATATTTTACAAATCACAATTAAACAGGTACTACTAGCAAATATTATTAGCTCATTAAAATTAGATTGTGTCCTTGTAACTAGACATTTCAATAGTATGCATTATTGATTTCGATTTTACACATATTCTTGAAATTAGCAATGCCTTTACTAGATGCATTTGATGACAGAAATCATCTCCTCTATTTTATATGATATTAACCTTGTGGCAGATAAGCTTGGTACTAAACAAGTCTTTTATAAAATAGTTCTAGTATTTTTAGGATCGTGATTGGTCAAAACGTGTCACATGACAAGCACCTATTTTGGTGCATGCACGATCATGTCAGAAAAGCGCTGTCAAAAGTGATATTGCACACTAAAAGATTGATATCCAGCGCAGCGTACGCGTAGAGCAAGTATCAAGGTCTTAACCAAAGACGTTTAAATATAGTCTTACCACCTCATTTTCTAGAACCAACATAACTCTCCTAGGGCGTGTTCACATCGCAGTGAGATAGCGCGGTCTATCGTAGCACCCCCTGTTTTGAGAGGTCCTGTTTCCATGACGCGTGACGTCATGAGGTCAGAGCGGTCAACACTCCTAGTTCGTAATAGCGCGCAAAATCTTTGACCGCTCTGACCTCATGACGTCACGCGTCATGGCAACAGGACCTCTCAAAAAAGGGGGTGCTACGATAGTAAGCAAATAACTACCGTTGGTGAAGGTGATGGGACAAACTATCACTTCCGAGGCGATCTGGATGTAGCTATCTTTCCGAAGCGAAGCTGAGGAAAGATAGCGTATACATTCTGATCGACGAGGAAGTGATAGTTTGCCATCGCCTGAAACCAAGAGGTGATTATTTGCTTTATATTCCACATCTAAAGCAATTTAACTACAAAAAGAAAGGGACGTGTATGCATCTACATAAAAGACACCATGCCCAAATTCACACCAAAAAAGTTAAACAGTAGTTTAACCCAACCCCTTGAGGGTAAGGTGCGCGCATGTGTTTGTTTTAATTGCGCTCATTGGTAATGCGCGCTTAATTACGCCTGTTTTAGTGCGCTTTTGGATAATCTTCAGTGAAAGTGCGTTGCCCTTTGTAGATAGTACCTCTATCTTCAGTAAAAGTGCGTTGCACTGATAGTAGTACTATCTACACAGTGTAACGAACTTTTTGCTTCTCCCATCAATAATGGGCGATCTATCTTTCATCACGTGATTTACTTTTGGCCATCCGTAGAGCAAGATTCTTAGTATGTGGAATATAACCGCGCTATCTCACTGCGGTGTGAACACGCCCCTAGACTCTAACATCAGATCTAGACTTGCGTTTGTTTTGATTTTCGAGTATCGCTATTTTATCAAACAAATAGCGCACTTGACCCCGTTGTGCGTAATGTTAATGCAGCGTACGTCTGGATTCTTCAGATGGTGCGCTCTCACCGCTCTGTGAACTCGCCGCAAGCGGCTCGTGCACAGAGCCGGCACCAATCTAAAGAAACCTCACGTGCACTGCATTCACCGCTAACGAACGCTGGCCGTGCGTTATTTGTATACTATTAGGGGCTTTTCGTTTGTGTGGACGAGGACGGCGTTCACGTCCTCTAACGATGCGAATTGGCGTCAGACACCCGTCCTGTTCACTACCTTATAACCCTTTTCGTTTTAAGTCGACCCCCGTTCTCTACACGATGACGTAATGGCCCCCGCACGCGCTTATTAGGTGGTCTGTTGAAAACAGATCACCTATTGTTTTCGTCAGAATTTTCTTTCTTTATTATTCAGGTGGGCTGTATAACGTACAGACCACCTTATAATTTCGTTAGAATTGCCTTTATTTATCAGGTGGGCTGTATAACGTACAGACCACCTTATAATTTCGTTAGAATTGCCTTTATTTATTTATTTATTATATATTTTTCTTATTTCTAACCACTTTTTTGTTGGCAAGATAACTTGGAAATGGCTCAATCAAATGCCTTGAAATTTGGCATACATATGTATAGGCATATGTACAAAGCAAAATAACGTTTTCAATATTGACCTTCACTGATGACGTCATCTAGGCGCCATTTTGTAAAATTTTACGAAAATCAACTCATGACCATATCTTCATAACCAAAGGTTATTTCATATTCATATTTATCATGATCAAGGTCAATATCCGTCCGGTCAATTGCAGGTCAAAAAACGCGCGCGTGCGCGTACCTCCGCGCGTCAATACGCGCGCAAAATATTAAAATGCTCAAAATCGTCTCAAAATCATTTTGCATACGTTTTAGGCTATTCTAAGCATTTTATAAAAAATCGCGCACACGCGCATGTGCGCGCGTTTTCGCGCGTAAAACTATTACACAACATAGAATCGCAATTTTTTTATTTTCATAATATTCCACATATTTTTACAAACAATTTAATACCATGTTTGTCTCTTTATGACTATTAATAACGGAATGATTGACCTTTTAACATAATTTCTGTGCGTGCGAGCTCTTGTATTACATAGAATATATGGACAAAAACATGCCTACACAAAATCCATTGTAGCTCTTTAGGATGCAAGGTCACCCTAATTCTTTTTTCAAATTGTGATAGAATATAAATTGGAGATATGATTTCATGTCTTATTTTACCCTCAATTAACTCATGACGTCATCATAATGGCCTCCGAACTCAAAATTTCAATTTGCATATTATGTTGTCATCGTATTTTTGGAAAATTGATAGTATCTCTCTTAATATTGATCAATTTTCTTCCAAAATTGTATATGTTTTAGCTGAGACAATGTTCTACAAATGCAGTATTCACAATTGTTAATTTTGACAAAAGCATCATGGCGTAATTTTGCGATTAAAGGAGGAATGTCAATTTTTCACATTTTGCGTGTATTCTCTATGGGACATGAGTTTTTCTCAGAACTGGATTCTACATTTCCGTCTTTTGCGAGCAATATCTCCGTCGTTTTAGCTTCGTTTACGCTGAACTTCGAGTATGTTGTAGCTGAGACAATTAGCTATCTCAAATGTGCCATTCATTTTGTCTTAAGTTTTAGTTGGACCAGCCCACCTATACTTGTTCCAAACAAGTATTACAAATCTAGTTTATTATTTATTATTTATTATATATTTTTCTTATTTCTAACCACTTTTTTGTTGGCAAGATAACTTGGAAATGGCTCAATCAAATGATTTGAAATTTGGCACACATATGTATAGGCATATGTACAAAGCACAATAACGTTTTCAACATTGACCTTCACTGATGACGTCATCTAGGCGCCATTTTGTAAAATTTTACGAAAATCAACTCCTGATCATATCTTCATAACCAAAAGGTATTTCTGATTCATATTTATCATGATCAGGGTCAATATCCGTCCGGTCAATTTCAGGTCAAATAACGCGCGCGTGCGCGTACGTCCGCGCGTCAATGCGCGCGCAAAATTTTGAAATGCTCAAAATCGTCTCAAAATCATTTTGCATACGTTTTAGGCCATTCTAAGCATTTTTTTAAAAATCGCGCACACGCGCATGCGCGCGCGTTTTCGCGCGTAAAACTATATGACACCATAGAATCGCCATTTTTTTTCTTTCATAATATTCCACATATTCTTACAAACAAATTGATACCATGTTTGTCTCTTTATGACTATAAATAATTGAATAATCGACCGTTTAACATAAATTTCAATGCGCGCGAGCTCTTGTAATACATAGCATATATGGGCAAAAACATGCCTATGCAAAATCCATTATAGCTCTTTAGGATGCAAGGTGACCCCAATTTTTTTTTCATATTTTGAGCGAGTATGAATCAGAGATATGATTTCATGTCTCATTTGACCCTCAATTAACTCATGACGTCATCATAATGGCCTCCGAACTCAAAATTTCAATTTGCCTATTATGACGTCAGCATTTTTTTGGAAAATTGATTGTATCTTTCTAAAAATTGATTAATTTTCTTTAAAATTTTGATATGTTCTAGCTGAGACAATTCTCTACAAATCCAGTTGTCACAATTTTTCATTTTGACAAAGGCATCATGGCGTATTTTTGCGATTAAAGGAGGCAAGCTAATTTTTTTCACATTTTGCGTGTATTCTCTATGGGACATGATTTTTTCTCAAAACTTGATTCTACATTCCCGTCTTTCGCGAGCAATATCTACGTCGTTTTAGCTTCATTTACGCTGAACTCCGAATATGTTGTAGCTGAGACAAAAAGCTATTTCAAATGTACCCTTTATTTTGTCTCAATTTTTTGTTGGATCAGCCCACCTATACTTGTTCCAAACAAGTATTACAAATCTAGTTATTATCAGGTGGGCTGTATCTAATACAGACCACCTTATATTTTTGTTAAAATCGCCTTTATTATTTATCAGGTGGGCTGTATCTAATACAGACCACCTTATATTTTTGTTAAAATCGCCTTTATTATTTATTTATTTATTATTTATTTTTCTTATTTCGACCCACTTTTTTGTTAGCAAAATAACTTGAAAATGGCTAAATCAAATAACTTGAAATTTGGCACACATATGTATAGGCATATGGAGACAACATGGTAAGGTTTTAAACCTTGACCTTGACTGATGACGTCATCTAGGCGCCATTTTGTGAAATTTTCTGAAAATTTACTCATGATCATATTTTCATAACGGTAAGTTATTTCTCATTCATATTTATCATGATCAAGGTCAATATCAGTCCGGTCAATTTCATGTCAAAAAACGCGCGCGTGCGCGTACGTCCGCGCGTCAGTGCGCGCGCAAAAAATTAAAATGCTCAAAATCGTCTTAAATTTTTTTTGCATACGTTTCAGGTCATTTTAAGCATTTTATAAAAAATCGCGCGTACGAGCATGCGCGCGCGTTTTCGCGCGTAACAACATTACAAAACATA